TGGGGCACCACTCGATAATAGGCCTTCTGGCTCCTTTTCATTCCCAAAGGCAGCAGCAAACCCTTGCTGTTGCCTTCTCTTGGTCAGAGCAGCCCCAGATTTGAAAGTCTTCATAGACATCCAGGCCTTCAAGTACTTCCCTGTTGAACTCCAACTGGCACTGAATTGACAACGAATACTGGGTACTTCAGGTCATGTTCCTGGGAAGCAGCTGTAATTTGATTAATCCATAGGGCCCTCCCATTTTCCTCCTTCAACCTAAAATCCAGGTACATTTGACAAAGGCTCTGGTCACCACCCTACCACAGTTCTTCCTCCTCTAGAAGTGCTGCTACTTGTGCTTCAGCACCTCCTGGATCTGAAAGTAGCAGTATGTGAAGCCATTGCCAACCAGAGCCACATGGTGAGGAAGAGCCAGTGCATCCCCCACCCACTACCCACCACCACCACACTTAAACAAAACCTGCTATTCAGTAGTACAGGTGTGCATTTCCACTGCTGGAGTCCTCCCCACCATTCCCTTTATCTCAAGCCCCACAGCCACTCTGTGAGCTCAGTGTTTAAGAAACAGCCAGAACCTGACCTCTTCTCTCCAAACTTCCTGTTGCTGCCAGATCAAGCTGCCTTCCTTTGGCCTAGGATCACTGATGGTCTTGGTTGCTAATGGATCTCCCTGCTCCCATATCACCCCCTTCAGGCTGTTCTTAGCACAGCARCTGAATGAGCCTGTTAAGTGGACTCCACCCACTGTCCACAAAGGTTCAGCCCAGACCTAGAAGAGACCCTTGACTCATTACACTTTCCTCAGGTCTTGGCTCACTTCCTGGACCCTCTCAAATAAGTTTACACCCTGCTCGCCAGCCCCACTTCCCCCTGCTCTCCTTCCTTGTTGCAGATTTCACCTCTTCCCAGGCTGAGGTGCTTCATACTTCAAACCCCCTGCCCCCTAGGCTCCTCAGAGTGCACAGAAGGCAAGGGTTTCCTCTGGTTCTCCTGCCAGTGGAGCAGACCTCTTCTTGAGACATGACAGGATAGATAACAAACTTTCCTGTTTTGTTTTCCCCTTACTAAATTGAATCTAAACATCTCTCTTATTCTTCCTTTAATTAAAAAAATTAATTCTTAACTGGACTATTCAAGGGAAAGAAGATGGGAGAGGAAGACAGTAGGAGTTACATTTCTGCTCTGTAGAAGAACCTGAATCCATTCTGATTACCACCAGTAGTGCTTCTATGTGTGACTGCCCCCAGGGCACTGTCCTGTATACCTACACACCGCTTCTGTTTTGGCCCAAAGCCTACCTCAAGTCACACTGGTTCACCTGCCAGACTTATTTTACTGCATTAGCACAAACCTCTGAGACAGATTTGTCTTTTCTTTTTCAAGTTTCAAGTAAAATCAATATTAATATACAAAAGAGTATTTAACCATTTGCAATGACACAAAAAGTTTACTTGCAGACTGGGAGTATAGTCCAATAGTAAAGGGCTTGCCTAACATACATGAGGGCCTGGCTTATATCTCCAGCTGCAAAAATATTAATTAAAAAAAAGAAAGTTCACTTCCTGATCCATATTTCTTTTTTCAAAGTTAGCCCTTGTTAATAGTCACTTATGCAGCCTTGTAGGGGAATATATGCATCATTCCAGCAAAAATATATATCCATTAAAAATGGACTTGAGGGCTGGGGTCATGGCTCAGCGGTTCAGCGGTTCAGCAGTACAGCACTTGCCTAGCATGTGTGAGGCCCTGGGTTCAATTCTTAGCACCACATAAAAATAAATAAATAAAGGTATAAAAAAAAATGGACTTGAGCTGGACTTGATGGTGTACACCTATAATCCTAGCAGTTCAGGAGGCTGAAGCAGAAAGACCACAAGTTTGAGGCCAGTCTCAGCAACTTAGTGAGACCATGTCTCAAAAATAAAAAAGGGTTGGGGATGTAGCTCAGTGGTTAAGTGCCACAGTACCACACACACTTGACTTGAACAACAACAAAAAAATCATAGTAACATTATTTTACAATTTATTAGCATAATTTGAAAATCTTTCCATATCACTCCATCTAGATCTACCTTGTTTTTAGCAATTGCTTAGTATTGTATCTATGTGCTATGATGTCTACTGATCCTGTATCAACATTTATTGGCCTTGGTTTCTTTCCAGATTCTTGTTATGAAAGTGTTGCAGTAACATCCCTATCCATCTTGGCACATCTGCAGTCATACTTGTAGAATTCATTCCTTTGTAGGTTAAAGGGGCATGGGTGTTTAAATTTTTTTAAAAACGTTTCTAATTGTAGATAGACAGAATGCCTTTATTTTATTTATTTATTTTTTTGTGGTGCTCATGATCGAACCCAGTGCCTCACATGTGCTAGGCAAGCACTCTACCACTGAGCTACAACCCCAATCCCAGTGTTTCTTTTTTTTTTTTTGGAAGAGGGGTACCAGGGATTGAACTCAGGGGCACTCAACCACTGAGCCACATTCCCAGCTCTATTTTGTGTTTTATTTATAGACAAGGTCTCACTGAGTTTCTTAGCATCTCACTTTTACTGAGGCCGTCTTTGAACTCGTGATCCTCCTGTCTCAGCCTTCCAAGCACTGGCATTACAGGCATGCACCACCGCACCCAGCTAAATTTTTGATAGAAATTATCAAGTTGATGTTTGAGTGCTTGTACTAGTTTATTCTTCTGGAGTATGTTTTCTCCACCAACTTTTTATTTGGAAAAATATTAAAATTACATTAAAGTCTAAATACTAATATAATAAATACTCAGAATCCTTTGCCTTGTCCAGTTATTGTATTATCAGCTGAATTATTTTGCTCAGGCTGCCATAACAAAATATCACAGACTGGGTGGCTTAAACAATAGACTTTTATTTTCTCACAAGTCTGGAGACTGGAATGTGAAGGTGATAATCAGCCAGTTTGCTTTCTGCTGAGGCCTCTCTCCCTGGCTTGCAGATGGCCACCTTCTTACTATATCCTCACGTGTCTTTTCTTGACATCTGTGTCCTGATCTCCTGTTATAAGGACACCTGTTGTTATAGAGTTAGGGCCCTCCCATATGACTTCATTTAACCTTAATTACCTCTTTAGAGACCCCCATCTCCGAGTGCAGTCACATTCTGACATACTGGAGATTATAGGACTTCAGCATATGATTTAGTCAGGCTTCAGCCCATAAGACCACATTTGTTCATCTTTCTCTTAGTATATGTATTGTATCTGATTGCTATAGTATATTATAAAATACATTTATATTTATGGCTTATAATTATCATGTATCATATTTTGTATATATAATGTATATAATCATATCTACTGTGTAATTTCCTCCCTAAACCACTAGTAAGTAAATTGCAGCCATTCTGATACTTCAGCTTGTACCTCATGGAAACGAATAGTTGGGATTACTCCTGCCTTTAAGAGTCATTCAGGCCAGTGGAATCAGTTGGCCTCATCTCCAGATTCTTTGGCTTTGTTGAGGTTTTGAATCTGTGATGTGTCAAGGAGATGACAGACCTCCTTGCAATTCCACCTGCTTTTTTTGGTCTCTATATCAACATTCTCTAAACACCAGACTTGTTATTTTAATTCTCTGTACAGGCAGTCCTTGCTTTGCCAAATGTGAACTGCTTGTGTTTATTCAGAAAGTGGGGTTTATTGATTTGAGGGCTGTTCATCACCCTCCACCTCCCATGGCCTCATTGGCAGTTCAGGACTCCACCAGAAGTTGATTCTCGCCTGCTACCAGTTGTAATGAGGCCTCTTCTACGGACTTACATCAGTGTCTCTTTCTTTCTTGGTACTTTTGTGTGGGAAAACATCACCAGGCGGCACTTTCTGTGTGTTTTGGTAGATAGAATCAGTGTGGAAACACTTGCCAAGAGCTTCAGTGGGGGACATGTGGACTTAAAACTATTTCCTCTGGTTCAGATGGTTGTGTTGGCAGGCAACCCAGGGCACGGGGGCAATTCTTCTGAGTCCTTTGCCAGACGAGGCTGAGCAGGTTGGTGCTGAATGAGAATTCTACCTTCCTGACTCTCCTCTGCTGGAGTACCACTGCCTCCTGCTGTGAACACAACCAGCATCCTTGCTCCGTCCCTTCCACCCCAGGAAGCCCATCTTCTGTAGTTAGCAGAGCCACTTTTCTAAAACACAATTCCAGCATGTCTTTGAGTCTGCTTAGAACTCTTCCTTGGCTCTTCCTTTCCTAGAGGATTTATTCCAGACCCCTTGGCCCTTCTCTCACATGGCTCCTGCTCAGTGTGTTCCCCTCCAGTCTGCTGTTTTCCCGGCAGTATCAGTTATGCTGAATTGAAGCCAAGTTCAAGTATGCCAAACATACTCTGTCGTGCTCTGCCCTGTACCTGTGAGCTCATGGTGTTGCCTGTCCAGAATAGATCTTCTCTCCCTCCCTGGTAGCAAACCCTTACTTGGCCTCAGGACCTGGCTTGACTGTCTCCATCRGTGTGGCCTGTCCCAATGCCCATTCCTTTAGGCAGGCAGGGTTGGTTGTCCTTCAGCCTCAGACTCACCTCTTCTCTATCACTGGTTATGTGTCTGTCTTTCCTGGTTGCTAGTCAGCTGACTTTACATTTGCTTCCTCAGTTCCTTGTTTGAAGTAGGCACTTGGTAAACATCTGGGTGAATTTATCCTTAGATAGTTTCCCAAAGTTAGAAGCAATTAATTTCTACTTCATTGTTTCCAGTAATTGTCTGAGTGAGACTTGTCACAAAGAAGTAAATACAGTTTTGCACATGCACTAAGAAGTCATTCTCGTTAGTATTCAGTTCTGAAGGGTCCTATGCTGGTCGTCAGCAATGCAGGGCCTCCGTGACTTTCACTGACTTATTGTATATTGTCACATGTTAAAATAGAAAGTGCTGAACTTAATAAACAATGAGCAGATTGATAACCCAACTGTAGGTGCATTTTGCTTTGTGTTATTGCTTTGGAAAGTTACTGATGTCTTTCTTTTCTTCCAGTCAAACGCTTCAGAGAACCAAAGCATGAGAGACGTCCATGGAGAATATGGTATGTATTGAAACACTAACTTATTCCTAAAATATTTTTGAGTGTGTTGGATTTTGGGAGACAGGGTAGGGTCTGGTAGGGGATGAAATATGAAAAATTATACATAATAGTGTCTGGACTTCCTCAGTTGAGTTATCATTGGGAACAGTGTGTGATATGAAAGCAGTCCTATTTTTCCACATGACTTTTGATCCCTACCTTTGTTTTATGATCACGCTGCTTCCAATGTTGGAAGATGAAAAATAATAACAGACGCATCAGTCTCTTCTCCAGATATCTTTGTCTCTGATAATGTTCAAAGTCTTGGATTCTACAGTCCATATGTTTAAGCAAAAAATAATCAAAATTTGGAGATTAGCTCTAACTACTCTCTTCAAAACTGGTCTTCCTTGGTCCTAGAATAAAGAAAAACTATTTCTCTACTCATAGTACTTTTAAAGCATAAAGTGTGTGTGGGGGGGTTCCCTAACACCAACCTGTTTTCTAATTATCTAATGCCACTGTAGCAGTATTTTATTTACAGTATGTAGTAAAGCTTCAGAAATAGATTCTAGGGACAAAACTCCAAGGCAATAAATCACTTAGAAGGAGACAGCCAGCTCTTTAGGACAGCAAGGTATCCACAGGAAGCTGCCTTGGGCTGTCTTAGATTTGCTTTTGCCCTTACAAAACATCACTTTCCCTTCAAAGGAAACCTTGATGAGTCACTGAGATAAAGACTTTTTACAAAATTTTAATCATGTACTCACTTGTTCTTATAGACATCACTGCTGAATGTTGATAATTCAAATTTTTTATACCCACCCACCATTGGTTCTCTCAAATCTGGGCTGGGGAGGGACCCAGCTCAGGGCTCTGTGTGTCCTGCTCTCTGTGTTGTTCTTTAGTGACTCTTCCCTGACACTGACCTTAGGAATGTTTTTCCAGCCTCCAGATAATTTCTGTGGTCCATTCATTTTCTCCAAATACCTTCCTGTCAGACTGGTCACAGGTGTTGTTTCTGTCTTGTGCAGGTTTTTAGATACTTCCAAACAAGCCATAGGGATGCTGTTCATCCACTTTGCAAATGTGTACCTGGCAGATCTTACTGAAGAGGACCCTTGCTCACTGTAAGTGACCCATATTTGAGTGCAGGCATTGTCAGTCCTCCATTGAAAATGTGTGCTGGTCTTACTTTCTGTGACCAGTCCTGCTTCTCCAGGGTGCAGAGGGGGTCACCATTTCTCCTCTACATTCCTCTGATGGCCAATCCTGTGCATACCATCCATGAACTCACATACCCAGCCATCCATTGGCCATCAGGGCTTTGACAGTTGCCTGGTACACTGGCTTTCTTCTAATCAGTTCACAGTCCTCCTTTGGTTTTCTAGTGCCCTTCTGTCACCCAGCTTCCCAGCAACATGCCCTGCAGGAATGTCTCTGTGCCAGAAAAGACAGAGAGGGGCTTCTCTGTGGTCTCAGACTGTTGACTATTATTGACCTCTTTGGCCTAAAGAACATGGGTTGTTCTGCCTTATCATTGGGAAAAAACCTTTCACACAGCCCCCAGGGCCATCTGTCTAAAATCTTAATTGGGCCCTGAAATGCTGACCTCCTTGCCGGTAGCACCTGAATGGTTCTCTTAGCAGATGGAGTGGGAAAGGAGGCTCACCTACTTCATTCCAGCCCCATCTCTTACCTTCTTTCATCCACAGAGCAGCTCTGCCATGTAGATACTGTGATTATCCCCACTTTACAGTTGGGGAACTGAGAMACAGAGAGACAATGGCACTTAAGTTCATGCAGTTCAGGAGTGATAGAGCTGGACTCAAATACATCCTGATTGGCTCCAGGGCCTGCATGACTCCCTGTTGTCTTCCCTTCTCCCTTACATTGAGCATAGTGTAGAATTTGACCTTTATTCCCAAGGACAGCACATAGTAGGCTCAAGAAGTACTTGGCGAGTGAATGAATGACCAGAAGGCATGTGTGTGTATCAGTTATCCTTGTTGTTTTCAGGCTGGGTCTCAAATGTAAGGACTCAGGTGTGAGAGGCACTCGACACCAATTAGATCCGAGAGCCTTATAGCCTCACACCAAAGGAAAAATTGCCTTAACAGCCAGCCAGCACTGTTCTTTCGGTCTCTGATCTGAGAGTGACCCCTTGTGACTTTAAAGAGGAAGGACAGGCAGGAGAAAAACACCACCCCCTCCCTCTCTAGGCTTATTTTCTGGGCCCCTGGGGCTAGGAGACAACACGTTCTGTCTGGGATCAGAGTGCTCTGCAAGCGCAAGCTGGGGTTGGAATGAAGGACCAGGAATCCTCATAAAGTGCCTCAAGCTGTGGCCGCTCAAAACACTGCAGCTGGGTTTCACAGTGTCCTGGGTTTATCTGCAGAGTTGTCAAAGCCATGCGGTATCACAGTGGGTCAGTACCTAATCCAGTGACCTTGTCTTCCACATAGTTTGCAACAGAGAACTGGGGCCTGTGGTCAGCAGGGCTCAACTGCATCTGGGTTTAGCGCCCTCGAGGGAGGGCAGATGGGTCTTACCTTGGAGAGGGAAAGGGTTTTGTGTCAGCCCCGTGGAAACAGATCTTAGCAGAACATGCGGTCACTGTGGGCATGCCTTCTCCCTCCAGTCCTTTGGCCTTGTCCCAGGGGGTAAAACTCTCTCTAAAGCTTAAAAGTATTGTGTGTACATGTGCCACATGATCCTGCCCTCTTTACCTAAAAAACCCTGGAGACATTTTCTAGAACTGCCTTGAGGCAGCAGCACTGTCACAAGACCTTATGTTGGCTGGACCGTCAGGGAGTTATCAGAATAATCAGAAGGACTTTTTTTTTCAGGAACTCTGTCTTCTGTTCAATCTTGGCCTGACAGGAACACTTTTTAAGCATTTCATCCCTCTCTTATCCCTCCCTCAAGTTGTTGACTTTAGTAACTTGTCAAGGACCTGGAAGTGAGAGCTGCTCGCAACCTTTGCAGCCTCTCACATGGGCACATTCAAGGCTACCAGCCCCTCCAAGAACAAGATCAGAAAAAAACACTGGGTCAGTCAGCTTCTCAGGCTGTATCTCCATCAGCCTTGACTGCTAACTCTGGGAAACTCTGTACCTAGGGCCTAGCTCAGTGGCTTCTGATTGTGCTTATGTGCCCTCTCCTCATAGGTACCTCATCAACTTCCTCTTGGACGCCACTGTGGGCATGCTGCTCATCTATGTGGGAGTGCGCGCTGTCAGTGTCTTGGTAGAGTGGCAGCAGTGGGAATCCCTGCGTTTTGGTGAATATGGTAATGTGCCATGAACACTGGCTGGTGTGTGGTGGGAGCTGCTTGCCTACCAGTGAGGGATCCAGAGAAGATTTGGGAATGGATGGCTGTCTCCTTTGTGTGGTGGAGGGGCTGGCTCTGGGGTTTAAGCATCATCCTCCTGGGTATGTGTGGGTGCCTACCTCACTGCTGAGGCTCTTGCCTTGGTGTCAGGAAAGGTGGCAGGAGGCAGGAGATACCCTAGATTCAGGGAGATCGCTAATCTCTCCTACAAGTCCCTAAGACCACTTTATTTCTGCCAGACTTTTCATGGAGCTCACCCTGCCATGTTGGAGAAATGGGGTGGTCAGTAGGGAGGTGGAAGCCCTGCCCCTCTTTCTGCTGTACACTTGTGATTGTCTGGTCACCAGGCCATCCCACATGTGATGGGAGGCCCTATGTGAATGGCGCTCACATAGCCAGGTCTAGAAGGTCCGTCCCCCTGAGGCCAAATTGCCTTGCTTTCCCTCAACTGCTTGAGCCCCACCTAGCATTGCATGTACCAGTCACCAGAGTCACAAGTCCATCTTTACCCAGAGACAGGGCTTAAAACAGGTAACTTATGTCAGACTCTGATGGATACAGCCTGAGTAGCAAGCTGCCTTCATGTAGCCCTATGAAAGGGAGTGTCAGGACAGGACTTAACATCAGCTCTTTTCCACTGTCCCAGCTGGCCTTTCTTTCTGTAGGTAGGAGCTCCTCTCCTCAGTTGGAGCAGCAGCATTGGAACCTTTGCCATGAGAGGGCATAAGGAATGGAGGGACAGAGGGAGTGTGGATGGAATACTGGATCTGCAGTCTCCCACAAATCCCAAAAAACTCATGGCTCTGGGCTCAGGGGCCACTAACTTCTAGATGGCTAGAAATCTCTAAGGGATTGACGGTTTAAAAGGGCAGCTTATTCATGGAGCTGGCTGTGAATGCCTCAGGTATTTCTAGAAATCTTAAGTAATTGTTTATCCCCATGGAGGGGAGATGAGCTCAAGGGAGGGCTTTTCTTAGCCCCAACACTTGATGCCTGATGAGTCACTGACCTAAGATAGTGTCCAGCACACAGCATGTGCTTCCTGGGCTCCAGGAAAGGTTTCTGAGACTCCCCAAGTCATGGATTCCTCAACTTGCAGGCCAGAAATGGATCACAGTACATGTGGACTACTGTGGCATTATTATCCCTGTTTATAGATAAGTTGCTTGCATCCCTGGCTAGTACATGTTGGGGGCCTTTTGCCCTCAGCAAGATACACAAACCCTCCAGCCACCTCCACGATCAGTACTCATAACTACTTCCTTGCTGTTGAGATCCCTTCCAAAAGGCTCTCAACTTAACTAGCTGACCAGAGCTAAGGTGGATCCCCTCAGTCAGCTGTATGACCTGGAGTGCAAGTCAGGTTTGATACATTAGGCATTAAGAGGCCCTCAATTCCCTGACAGAAGGAAGAGTCAGTGGAAAAGGAGGAGGGCAATAGCTATGTCTACACCTCCTTCTCATGCTGGTTGACCTCCCTGGGCCCCTTGCCTGGCCTTAGCCAGTGCCCTTGAGAATCGGAATTTCTCCATATAACTCCAGGTATCTCCAGAGAAAGCTGCCCTTTATTAGGACCACTGAGGGCCTCCCTTCCCAGATTGTTGTTACCCATTGTTTTCTAGTTGTCAAATTTTGTTGTTTTCTATTGCTGTTATAACAAATTAACATAGACTTTAGTGACTTCAAACAACACAAATTGATTACCTTATAGTTCTTTCCTTCAGAAATCCAATATGATTGTCTTGAACTAAAATCAGTGTGTCAGTAGGGCCAGATACTTCTGGAAGTGGTAGGGGAGATTGCTCTGCTGCCCTTTGTGGCCTCCAGAGGCTGTCTGCATTCCATGGCTTGTGCCTTTCTTCCTGTTTTCAACGTCAGGTTTGTCTTACATCACACTACTCTGACTTTGCTCTGACCTTCTACTGCCATCTTCTATTTGAAAGTCCCCTTTGATTACATTGGGCACTTTGTTGTATACCTGAACACTATGAATACTCTCCCTATATTTAAAAACTATTTTTTAGGTCTGGGGTTGTGGCTCAGCAGTAGAGCACTCGCCTCTCACGTGCGAGGCCCTGGGTTGGATCCTCAACACCACATAAAAATGAATGAATAAAATAAAGACATTGTGTCCAACTGAAAAATAAATATTAAAAAAAAACTATTTTTTAAATCTTTGTTTTTGTGGTACTACAGATTCAACCCAGATTCTTACACATGCAAGGCAAGTGCTCTACCACTGAGGTACACCTCCTGCCTTCTTCCTATCTGAAATACAGCTGATAAGCAGCCTTAATTCCATTGACATCCATCATCCCCCACCCTTGCTAGGTAACATGACATATTCATAGGTTCCAGGGATTAGGATGTAAACATCTATGTGGACCATTATTCTGCCTATTATGCACGTGAGCCTGCCCATCCATTTGAGGTAGTAGCTCCATGAGGGCTCCACAGCTCTCTTCTCAGGTATTAAAAAAAAGGAGCTTGTTTTCTAGGTAGCTTTCATAGTTCCTAGAAGAGAAGATCACTGGACTTGAGGAGTAAGCCACACTTACATGTCTGGGAATGATCAGATTTGGGTGATACATGTTGTTTGCAATCTGATGACCAGACTGCTCTCTCCCTGAAAATGAGGTCCACAGTACATGTGGGCTTTGCTGCCCACCCTATTCTTTCCAGAAGCCTCCTTTTGCTCCCTATTCCTGTAACTTATTCTGAGGAAATAATTCATTGAAACCAAAACCTGTATACATGAGGTTCTACAGTGCAGTACACATTGGCCACACCTATCATGTTGTCCTTTAAAGACAGGACTCTGAGGAGCGTTTCAGAGACTCAAGGGAAACAGAAATGAGCAAACAAACAGGTGCGTGTGCACTCATCGGGGCTATGGTTTCATGTGATCCAGCACACAGGAGGCAGTATGTCAATGCAGGATCATGGGCACTTTTTTCTCTTTTCACCGTGGTTTGGAACTTTCTTATTTTAGCAGTGAAACAAAAGGCAGCAGCAGCTCAGGTGTGCAGCAGAAACTCAGAAAGGAGGCAGATGGGGAAAAAAAGCATTTCCTCTTTTGTCAGTCATTCACAGCTTAATAGCAAATAGAGTGAGCACACTCAAAGCAAGTGGGTATTCTTTTGACAGTATGTAAATGCTGCCACTTGCTCCGCTGACTTTCAGACATACCAGTGTCAATTCAGAGACATTTCCCAATGGTACATGCTGTTTCCATATCCCTAGTCTTTCTTATTGAAGCTAATATTTTCATCTGCTCTTTTAAAGAACTTTTCTCAATAAGGTCAGGTGGTTTACTGGAAGCATTGCAAAACTCCATTTTCAGCCTGGGGAAGAGGCTCTAATGTCCTGCAGAAAAGGTGAAAACAGGCAGGAAGGACTCCAAAGAGGTGGCTGATGAGTTTCTACAAGCTTTCTGCCACCCTTCTCTGTTGTTTTCCAGAAAAGGGAACAGACTGGTATTCTGTCCATTACAGCTATATAAAGGCATTCTCTTGCGCTTCCCCTGAGTACAGTTGGCATGCCTGGGCAAGACTGGGGGCCTGGGGCATTGATGCCTGGACAAGGATTGCCGGGGAAACGGTAGATTCAAATGAGAAGCTGGAAATTTCTCTTTGGGCCAAATTCTCTTCTCAAAAGTCTAGATTTTGCCTCTCCTGAAATATTACTCTCTTTTCTCCTGTTCTAGCCAGTGATATTTGGACTGAGCTTCCAGGGCAACCTGGTGGCCTTCCTCACACCCCACTGTCCCCAGGTCTCCAACTGTGGGGAGACTCCCAGGGGCCCTTCCCTGGGATATGCATATCAGAAGATCATTTCCTAGAAGGACTGTCAGGTCCTCCACCCTTCATCGAGTCCCCTTTGAAGCATTCTAGGGGCATTTCAGGGCCTGAGTGTCCCTCAGTGTGAACTGTTGGGCCCTTTAGTTTCTCAGTCATGGTGACGACTGGGATCAAAGATCAGCCCTCATCACAGTCTCTCAGACCTGAGCTCATCTCCTTGGCCTTGAAGGCTTCTCTCTTCTCTTGTCCTTAGCCAGAGTGTTTGGAAGTCACCCATTTGAGACAGTGGAATCTGAATTCCTCCCAGGTCAGATTTCTGCTGAGGCAGTGGAGATGGCCAGGAAGTGGGTGGGATAAGGCATAGGAGATAAAAAGTAGTGGACAAACAAAGAGGTCAGTTGCTGCCTTTATGACGTCAGTCTGCTCGTGGGCAGAGGAAAAGGAAGGATAGAACTGGCCACTGGAAAAATCAACAATGGACAGTAATAGCAGTCTTGCTTCACACAGCTTCTGCTGCCAGCAGACAGAGAGCCAGCCTGTCTGAGCTCCAGCCGTGAGCACTCACTAACTTTAGGGCCTTTCAGTCCTATCTTAGAATCTCTTGAAAGGAATACCAATTTAGTATGTCCAAATTAGGAATTCTCAGATTTTATTTAAAAACTTGCATTTGTCTATTAGGAATAAGCTGATCTTTTAGGACCTTGGTGGGAGGCTCACTATAAACCTCTGGAACTAAGGTTTAGGGTGTGGCTGGGAATGTGAGGGCTCAGGAGGAGCTGTAGGGGAATTGGCTAGGGGGTTATCTCACTCGGATACTGGGCCTGTGTGACTGAGCACCCACCTGTCCCTGCAGGAGACCCTCTGCAGTGTGGGGCCTGGTTTGGGCAGTGTGCCCTTTACATCGTGATCATGATCTTTGAAAAGTCCGTCGTCTTCATCGTCCTTCTCATACTTCAGTGGAAAAAGGTTTGCCTCCCATCCCCACTCCAGCAGTCCTTGCTCAGTCCTTCATCCCACTACCCACATGCTGCAGCCCTGTTAGAAAGCTAAATTTTTGTTTTAACTCCATGAGCAGACCCCAGATTTGGTCTGATATGGCAACTCTTCATAAGATTATTAAGTTGTCATTCTTTTATGTGGCATCTGTCCTCTCCATGGATATAGGGTCTACTCTAGATTAAGCCTGGGGATATAGTCTTCAGACCTTGCAACTCTAAGTGTCTCTGCATTTCCAAATGTCATCCTCACACATCTGTCTTGGCTAGCCATTTGGCACCACAGACAGCTTTCATGACCTGTGTCTCCCATCCTGCCAATACCCTGGTGAGACCACGGGTTCCCCTGGCTCTGGCCTTTGGTGCTGCATAGATAAGCTGACCCCAGTGCTGCCCCCAGTGCTGTATAGATAAGCTCATCCCTATGCGAAACCACCTGAGTCTTCCAGAACAAGTGGCTCAGCTCTTGGCTATAGCTGGGTCTTATTTTTAGGAAATAGGCCAGGGCATTTCAAAGCCGTTGTCTTGAGGGAGGTGGTTAGAGAACAAGATTTCTGCTAGAAGGAGGTTTGACACCTGGTTGCTCATGTCTCTAATGAGCATCTGCTGAATTTCGGTTTCCTCCCTCCAGCTCTCAAGAGCCTGCATTCCCTGCTGGAGGCTTGGGGCCCTCTCCACTCTGTTTGGGCACTGCTTGGCTCTGGCTCAGTGGTTGTAAGCACACTGCACTTTGCAAGTTCACAACAAGGGGAGAGCTGTGAAAGCACTAATGCTCAATACAGGGTCCCTTATTTACAGTCAGATCTGGGGTACTGCAGCCAAGGGAGTGAGGGCTATCTTATCACTCTGGGGGAATGCCTAAGCTAAGCCCCCTAACAGGGGTTCCTGGGCCCTGTCCCTGTGGTCTCCCACCTTACTGCATCTGTTTCTCTTTACAGGTGGCCCTACTGAATCCCATTGAAAACCCAGACCTGAAACTGGCCATCGTCATGCTGATCGTCCCCTTCTTTGTCAATGTCAGTGCCGTGTTGCATGTTTTACACTGCTTTGTGCCCTGCCTTCCAGGGTTCCTGAGTCCTGAGTCTGACGGAAAACTCAGAGCCCTCAGATCTTTCTTTCTGTGTGACCAGTTGTCACATCCCCACTCCCCTCCCCAAGACCTGGAAATGGCAGGATTGCTTCTTCAAAAGGCAGGTTTCTGCTCCAGGGCCCCTGTCCAAGATGAAGGGTCCTAGGAAAATTGTCCTTGCCCTCTCTGCTAGGGATCTACCATGGAGGCATCCTACCCCATGTGTGACACCAGCTTCTAGRTCAAGATCATTCAAGCTGGACTCAGTGGCACATAATTGTAATCTCAGCAACCTAGTGAGAGCCTGTCTCAAGGGTGAGGGGTGCTCAGGATGTGGCTCAGTGGTAGAACACTTGCCCAGTACGTGTGATGCCTTAGGTTTGATCCCCAGCACCACTAAAAAATATATGTATATATCACTTCAAACGTGCCTCAATTGTTTATTCCTGAGGATAGTCCTCAGAAACTCACATRCACAGTGATTAAAAGCCAGGAAATAGTGAGAGGAATGATAAAAGGACCTGGACACACAGATACATAGAATATGCTGTCACCACACAGGGCCTCTGCAGGCCCAGAGCAGGTATCCAGAGACCTTGGTTCTGGGCCCAAGACAGGCTGCCAGTCCCAAGAGAAACCCCTTGGTGAGCAGGACAGGGATTTTCTTTCCTGTTCTCTGATGAGAAAACTGCAGCAAAGGAAATAAGGTCTGGGAATCTCTCTCAAAGCTTCTAGAAGATTGCAGGGGGGCTGGATTCTCTTTCCCTGTCTTTGGATTTTGTAACCTGGAATGGGCTGAGAAAGGGTGGAAATAGGTACTGCGACTGCTCTGCTTTCCTTGAAAGTGGCTTCTCCCAAAGTAACCTGCATTTCTCTTCCCACAGGCATTGATGTTTTGGGTAGTGGACAATTTCCTCATGAGAAAAGGAAAGACGAAAGCTAAACTAGAAGAGAGAGGAGCCAACCAGGACTCAAGGAATGGGAGTAAGGTCCGCTACCGAAGGGCGGCGTCTCACGAGGAGTCGGAGTCTGAGGTAGGGGCCTCCCTGACCCTCTCTGAGTACCTGGTCATTATGCCACTGGCCTGCAGGTCTCTGGTCTAATGTTTGCATTTGGTCTTCTCTTGGGTACTGAGTCACAGCACCAGCCAGAGGGAGGGAGAAGAAGCTGAGTGAAGAGCAGCCCAGGTCACACACCATTCCCATCTAGCCAGGCCCCAGGACTGCTGTCCCACATGCCTTCCTAGGGAGGAGGGTAGAGTATGTGGTGGGGGGTGGCTTACCACCAACAGTCTCCCTGTCAGTGGAGAAAGGCAAGGGAGGAACTGCCTAGTTCCAGGGAAGCTGGCAAGGACCCTCCTGGGCCTCATGGTTGATCTTCAGGCAATAAGGTATTGAATCCCTGCCCACCACTGACAAGCAAGGAAAGCGTTGGCTAAGCCAGCTGGAAACTTATAAAATATAGGAGTAGCCAGACCTCTCAGGCAACCCCATCTGCCCTTATTTCCTAGTCTCCAAAGTTCAAAGGTTTGAGCTTCAGGGAAGAGCAGTGGTCATGAACAGCAGCAGAGAGGCAATAACTTATGTCTGGCAGCCGCTCAGGGGCTGTGCGCCACACATCTGAGGTGAAGCTGTCTCAGGAGAGGCCCTGGGAAACTTGCATGGCATGCTAAGCACTGTGCCACCAGGAGAGCTACAGAAATGATCCAGACAGAGTAACACACAAATGGCTCATCCTGGCATTTTCAAAGCCTTCTGAAGCCCAGACAAACAAAACCCTGTGAGGACCCTGGGGCAGTAGGCAGGGAGTTCTGGAAGATGGATAGGGAGTAGGACAGAAAGTAAGCCCGTGCCTTCTCTGGGTACATATTCCTAGAATCTGGCACAGAGCTTGTCACATTGTAAGAGCTTGGTAAACATTTGAATGACAAACAGCATTATGGGCACCAGAACTCAAGGAATGGGAGCAAGGTCTGCTACCGAAGGGCGGCGTCCCACGAGGAGTCGGAGTCTGAGGTAGGGGCCAGCATGGTGGGCCAGCATGTCTTATTGTGTAAGGGGGCCTCCCTGTCACTGTCTTCCACAGAAGCACAGATGCAATAGCTGGCGGGCATTCAGTCAAGTCATTTGGCATCTGGATAATAATGTGAAATTCACTGTAGAGCAGCATTTATTCCAGAGTGTACAATGGAATGTCAAGCAGTGTGAGGTACAGGCGAGGTGTGAGCTAGATGAGCAGGTGCTTTGTGCTGTAGACTGAGGACCTGGGACATGCTTGTATAAGCAGTAGGGAGCCAGTGAGGGTTTAATCAGGGGACCGAGATTGGAAGCAGAGAGCCCTCAAGGGTTCAGTCCAGGGGAGAATTGATGAGACTACCCTGTCCCTGGAGTAGGAAGTCATGTTCCCCTGCAGCTTTTCAGTTTGCTTCTCCTGTATTTAAGGCAACGTCAAGGCCCTAGGACTCCGTGTGTCAAGGCTGAGCTTCTTATTGCCAGCATGACCCTGGGCTTCAGGTCTCTGCTGAGGTGTGGTTGGTTTAGGTGCAGCTGGAGTTAGATGGGGAAATGAGGAGCACTGGCATAGAGGCGGGTGGGTGGGGGGTCTGTGAACTCAGTGCTGGTTTCGGTGGGCCAGCATGTCTTATTGTGTAAGGGGGCCTCCCTGTCACCATCTTCCACAGAAGCACAAGACTTGAGGCCTCCTGGCGGGGCCTGGGGTCCAGGGAGGGCAAACGCAGAAGGGCTGCTGCCACGTCTCAGCCGTGCCTCTCCGCTGCCCAGATCCTGATCTCGGCCGATGATGAGATGGAGGAGTCCGACGTGGAGGAGGACCTCCGCAGACTGACCCCACTCAAGCCTGTGAAGAAAAAGAAGCACCGCTTCGGGCTGCCTGTATGACACATTCCATGCTGGGGGTGACAAGTTTGGGGCCAGCCAGCTGCTGGGTCAGCAGGTGGTCACCCCACAGCGTCATCCCTTCCCTCCTCTCTCTGCCCCTCCTCTTCTACCTCCACTCCTCTCGCTGTCTCTGCCCACTCTCTGCCCACCCCCAGACTACTGTGACTTAAAAAGAGGGAACAGGAACCAGCACCCAAGGGGGCCATGGGCAGCTGGAGGTCCCCGCTCAGTTGCACTACAAACACTGACCAAATATGCAAGCAAAGAGCTTTGTTTGTTTGTTGATGTCCTGCACAGTGTTGTGAGGGACCCCGAAGCCCCTGTCCTGTGTCTGACCGGGTGGTGCGGTACAGGAAAACACAGGCCCGCACAGACCGCGGGTGGGTCTCTCCCCAAGGCTGCAGGCAGCGAGGACACTTGACGTGCTTGGGGCTAAAGTCACTCACTGACCAAGTTGGAACCGGAATGCTTTCTTACTCAAAATGGCTTTTGTAACTCTTGATTTCTAAAGCCGGTTTTATGAGCTATGACAGTGTTAACTGTTTTTTGAGTATGTGTTTATTTCCTACAAAGTACCTATGGGACTAATGGGCAAAACCTAGATTTTTAAGTCTTCCGTATGCTGTTTGACTTTTATATTTTTAAGTTATATTTTCATACTATTGTATTTAAAAACTCTTTTTAATCCCCAAAGAAATGGATTTGTTTGCCTTTCATGGGGTATGAGCTGTGGGAGGAAGAAGTCAAGAGTTTTTCTACTTGGGATATTGTTAGGTAATGTCCTACGATAAGATGAGGCAAGTGACCCCAGGGGGCAAGGTGGACGGCCTTTGCCTGGAATCAGAACCCATGGTTGTGGAAGGTCAGGTCTGTGCATGAGGCAGCTGGTCTGAAGGTGGATCTGCGTGCCTCAGAGTGTGTGGAACAGGAGGGGATCTGCCAGGACCCCAGTCACTTCTGCTGGCAGGTTAGAGGTCTTGGTTTAACTGGTAAAGGAGCCTAAGAGTTAGGTTTTTGTGTCCAGAGGAATCAAGAGCATGGGCTGCTTGTGTTTGTTCCCTGCCTCTCCCCAGAGCTTCCAGATCTCAAGTGTAAAATAGTCCCAGCCTCTCAGCCTCTACTACAGCAGCCTGCAGAGTCAATCCTGTTCTGGTGCCTGTCACCTGCTGTTATCTGCTCATTTTACATGGAAGTCTGGAGAACATCCACATGGCCAGACGAGCCTGTTTTCAGTCCCCACTTCCCCACTCTGCAGAGCATGGTGGCTGGGGTGGGCAGGTAGAGGTGAGAGAACCTGCTGTCTAAATCCAGAGGCTGCAGCCCCTCCTCACATGGTAGCACCTGCTCCTCAGCCTGGCCACAGACCCCTGTGGTTCGGAGAGTTTGCTGAATAGAGGTGGAGCTGGCTGAGCCCAGCACTTTCCTGCTGTGGAAGCAGCAGGGTGGAGTTGCCCAGTGGTTTGTCATGCCAAGAGGCAGCCACAGACCCTTAGGAATAGAAAACCACACTGCTATAATGCGGGCAACAAGTGAGACAAGCACAGAGGCCATTCCACTCAGAACCATCTTTTTAAACCTGCGTAAAAACATGTTCTACTTCAGCATAATGGGTCTGAATGTGTTTGTGGTATGTGAGCCAGACTGTTGAACCAGGCACCTGGAACTGTCGCCTGCTGCTGCTCGTGGTCCTGCCTGTCTTGGACATGGTGGAATAGCTTAGGGAGGCCCTCTCCGACCCTCTTCCTCCAGGAATGCGGACAACTGTGAAGAACAGGGACTGTAGCTGTGCAGTAGGAGGTGACTCCACCAGTGTGGGGATCGCTGCCAGAGGAGGGGACAGGCTGGCAGTGAGCGAGATGGAGCCTGCCCAGGTCCCACAATGTTCCTGCTCTCATTCACTCTCTTTGGTGAGAGAGAAGACTGTGGTCTTTCCCTACCACGTCTCCAGTGGGGCTCTCTTGGGTTGCCCATCCCCAGACTACTGTGACTGGCAAGACCCAAGACTGGCATTTCTGGGGAGACTGTCACTGAATTGAAGCTTCATGTTCAGTCTTGAGTTCCCAGTGTTTCCAAACCAGGTTCAGGGGTAGGGGACCACTGTCTGTAAAAGAAGGAAACTTGGGGTTGTGTACACCTCAGAGGATCTCATATCCACGCTTGTCCCAGCATCCACTGAACAGTGAGCTTGAGGGACAGAGGTAGCAAGTAAGTGCTGGTGGTGTCCTGTGTCCTGATTGTTGTTAATAAGGGCTTGAGTCTCCAAGCTGCAGCTGTGTAACTGGCTGACAAGGGTGGAGGTCGAACAGGGAGTCTGTCTGATCCCAGGGGCCTCTTGGTGTGCGGGCTTGGACAGTGTGGCATCATCACGTGTTAGGCCTTCCTATCCTCCTGTGCCCTGGGAGAGCCTTCAGCTCTCTAGTCACTGGGGCTCTTACATGGCACACTCTCCCATGAAAGCAACTCAAGAGAGCTGTGGTCAGGACTTCCTCCTGAGCTGTCCTCCCTCCCTGGGATGAGTTTCCTCACCACCTGCTCCGAGGTGCCTTACGAGGTGCAGCCCTTCACTGGCTAATGGCAGGCGTCACCGTGCTTGAGAAATGATGGGATACTGACGGAATATTGTATACGGTCAATCTGATTTGTCCAAATCGGAACCTTGGCCAAGCCACCCACGATGGAAGCTTGAAGTCAAGGTCAGGAACAGGTTTCTTGTAACTATTGAAAATAAACCAATATGGCAGAACTGTGATTTGATTGGAAAAGGTGGTTGTTGCTGTTATTTCCTTTTGGCTGTCATTAGGACATTGACAATGGCAAGGGAGATGGTGATGAGATCCTGGGTGGCAGTGGCTTCTCAGTCCACACAGCCTGAAGATGTGCAAGGTGAGGGTCTGTGGCCCCTCAGCCCTTGAGCACTGTGATGGCCTCCTGCCACAACTTTCACTTGTGCCCTCCCTGGTAACAGGGAGTCTTAGGTTAATGTCACCTCTCATGCCTCTTTCTTCAGGGAACATAAAAAGGCTCAAATGCAAGTCATAACTTCCCTTCATCAGTGTACMAGGGTCCACATCTGAAGGCTGGCCCAGGACCCTGAGGGAGCAGGGCTTGCTCAGCCCTCCAGACTGCACTTCAGTGACCTTTTTGCAGCAAGTCAAGACAGGTTGCCCTGGGGGCTTTCTGCTGGCCAGACAGAGCAGCCACTTCATAGGGCTCGAGGCTGACTCTTAGAAGTTCCACACCCTCCAGCTAAGAGGCAGAGCTCTGTTTTACCTTGTAAGACATTGACAGCCCCAAGGGGCAATGCTTCTGGTGAGAGACTTTTGGTCTGACTTGCTTTGAGCACCTTGAGCTCCTGGGCAGGTGGGTGGGCAGGTCGGTTGGTTCATTGATTGGCTTGGTTGTTTTCAATTTGATTTTCTTTTCATGAAGTTTACTAGAAGTCAGACCTATGTAAGCAGAACCGTGGCCACTTCAGCCGGCATCCCAGCAAGGGTGTTTCGTCAGTGGTGTTACAAGTCACAGAAACACAGTTTTGAAATGAAAGGGAAGATGATGTACTTATATTGTAAAATGGTTTACAATAAAGTTTGACATCTTATAACAGTTTTTTAAAAAAGAAACCATCACTTTTGTGGTTGTTGGTTGTGTGTTTTTCTGGGGTTGAAATAGATTAATGGAGTTTAAAACAATGTCCCCGGTGGGTTAGAAGGCTCCCCAAGAAGCTGCAGGAGAAGGAACGTCACATCGCCCCATGCAGCAGTGAAGCCAGTCTGCCAAGGAAAGAAATCAAACGTGCTTTTGCTGTGTCTACTTCCTTGCTAATGAGAGACTAAGCCACTCTACCTCCAGAGGAATGAGCCATGTTGGGAGGTGGTGTGAGGAGGGAGCACCCCACATCCTGTCCCAGAGGCCATGGGCTGAGCAGAGCCAGCTGTGGGGCAGTGCTGAAGCCCCGGCTGGCACCCTGATGCTGGTGGAAGGGCCCTCGCCAGGCCTGGCATGCCCTGCACTGCCCCTGGGAGTCCTGGCATTCCTCCTGTTAGCACTCATCTCAGCCTGAGCCTGGCCATCCTCACATTGGCCTCCTGGGGACCGAGACTAGAGTAGGGATTGGGGTGGGGCTTAAGGTATGATACCAGTGGAGTGGCATTTGGAATAACCAAATGTCAGTGCCTGGTTGGGTTCCATCTGCTAGAGCCTTCAAGATAAAAATAATCTCCATTGCAAACAGGAAAGGAACTGGGGTGTGTCTGCTCTGGTGGGGATCATGTCCACTCCCCACAACCACCCCAGGCTCAGAGCCCTGCTGTGTGGCCCTGGGGATCTTCCCCTACAAAGATGAGGGTGATGGAAACAGAGGAGAACCAAGTCACCTTGCAGGAGGTCCTTGAGCCTGTCCCCTGCACAGCTCAATACCTGGGGTGGGCTTCACTCCTTCCCAGGACTCTTGTAGCACTTAAGCTGTCCTGCTGGTCAGCCCCACCCCACCCCTGACTTATCCCAGACAGAGACTGTCCATGGGACCCTCATGTCAAGCATCTTCTGGTCTTTCCTGGGCCCCCCTTCCCACTACCTTGCTTCTTCCCTTTCAGTTTAGAAGGAGAGCCAGTCTCCAAGGTCATGCGCCAGAACTGGGCAGAGGACGATGCTATCCACAAAAATCTGGTGGAGCAGCCCCCCAGGGTCCCCTTGGCCTTAGTTTCCCCATCTGTGGGCCAGCAGTGGCCCCTTGCTCTGAGTCTATCATGATGGCCCTGTGAGCTCACCCTAAGCAAATGCTTTCAAGCACCAGACACTGGAAACTTCTGCCCTGCTGCTGCTCGGAATAGAAAGTCACTTCCCACTAAAATCCACAGGAAGGAACGGAAGAGAGAAAAACAAGCTCAGAGCATCCAACCTGGCTCAGGGCCCTCCCTCTCCTCACGGACAGCCCCCTACACTGGGATGGGCCATTGCAGACAGACAAGCCAAACTGTCACACACATTCCTAGACCCACATTCATAAACACAGCCAGTCGCCATTAGTGCCAGCACCTCCCACCTGCAAGTAGAGCAGCTGTTCCCGAGGGTGCAGGGTCTCCCCAGCTGTCTGCTTTCGCCAGGGCTGCTGTCCCCATCATGTCCGAGAATAAACTCTGAAGCTAGTGGCTGTGTGGACTTGAATCATCGGAGAGCCCGTCGGAGGTAGGGGAGTGACTTACGGGGACGAGCCAGCAGCTGCTGTCCCCATCATGTCCGAGAATAAACTCTGAAGCTAGTGGCTGTGTGGACTTGAATCATCGGAGAGCCCGTCGGAGGTAGGGGAGTGACTTACGGGGACGAGCCAGCAGGCTATATAAGCTCCAGAGGGCCAGGCTCCACGCAGAGCTCTTGCCTCGCTGCTGTCTGCCAGAGGCACCTTCAGGGAGTCATCTCTTGCCCAGCACCCACCATGTCCCAGGTAGGAGGGCCCAGCATGGGCTGTGTTGGAACCAAAGGGAGTCAGGGTGGAGACCTGGACACTCTCATCTTTGGCAGCTGTCTTGAGCTAAGATCCAAGGATAAACAGGAGGCACTATAGCCCTGGGGAGGCCAGGCCTGAGGAAGACGTCCCAGCTCCTGGTGAATCCCTGTTCACCTTGACTTTGTTTATTCTCTAGTTTGTTAGTAGGGGTGGTGGGAGATGGGTGTGTCCTTTTATAGACCTCTACATGTCCCTTTGTGTGTGTGTGAGGGAGCTGCCTATATAGCCCAGTGTGTACAGTTGTGTGTGTTTGTAGCTGTAGCCGTGTAGTATGTGTGTGTGTGTGTAACACACACACTGGAGGCTGTGCCTGTAGGTGTTCAGCTCTGTGTCCATGTATTTCCCCAGTGGGGTGTATCTTTATAGGGGCCGTGTTGTCCCGGCAGCCTAGCCCAGGCTGAGGGAGGGAATCCCTGCACCTGCCCCCAGGGCTTAGAAAGGAATAAGGCCTCAGACTCACAGGCGCCTGGGGTTGACTCTGAATGTCCCAGCACTGGAAGGACACATAGTCTTAGCCTGCCAATAAGGGTTGTCCTTGTTGTCTGCTCCAAGGATGAGTGTCAAGTTTGAACTGTCACTTTGTGGACATCTGGACTGTCTACCCATTCCCTTCCAAAGACATACTAAGTAAAAATACTGGTGCTTTTCTGGAGAGGGACAATCCCTAAGAGACCACTTGCCATCCAATATCAGGTCTTGGAACTCAACAAAYTTCCTGGGGCTGCTCAGCCTCAAAGCCAGTCCCTTTCTCCTGTGTCCTGTTCAGGAATAGGCAGACAGACCGGTATGAGGCTGCAGTGGCCTATGCCACCAGCAACTCCAAGTGTGTGGGTGAGAGCAGGTATGCAGGTCAGGCCAAGGGGGCTGGGAGACACACGGGGCGGGGGTGTATCACTGTGACTTCTTGTAAGAGGAATGGGTCTTGAACCTGCTTGAGCTCAGTGAGCCAGGAAAGGGGTCTCTGCCTTGAGGCCTCAGAAAAAATTCAGCTCTGGGTTCTCCAAGGCTGGCGCTCCAGAAGCCCCCATCAAGAAGAAGCGTCCCCCTGTGAAGGAGGAAGACCTGAAGGGGGCCCGAGGGAACCTGGCCAAGAACCAGGCAATCAAGTCCAAGACCTACCAGGTTATGCGGGAGTGTGGTAAGTGTCCTCTAAGTGGGCTGCAATCTGACATGGGGTTATGGTTGTTGTGGGGTGGGTATCAAGGGTTCTTTTCTGAGAATCCAGAGCTTCTGGGCTCAGGAGGGGCTGCTGTCAATACAAGGGGCCTTCCCTAGGAGGAAGCCAGCTCTGGTCCCTAACGGTACCTCCCTTACCTCCTTCCCACAGAGCAAGCTGGCTCGGTCGCCCCATCTGTGTTCAGCCGTGACCGCACAGGCACTGAGACTGTCTTTGAGAAGCCCAAAGCTGGACCTGCCAAGAGTGTCTTTGGCTGAGAAGTGCTCATCGCGCCCCCTCCACCCCGAGCACCTGGACACAGGAGCCTTTCCCACGAACTTTTTTTTAATGCCAGAATATGTCTTTCTTCCCAGATGTCTTTGGGACCGCCGCCCTTGTCCCACAGCCCTGACCCTTTGCACCAGAACCTTGGAAACACCAATAAAGAGTATGCCCAAGTGGCCTCAGCATTAGGAGGGTGTTGGTTGATCACTGGCCATGGCTGCTACTAACTGCAGAGGAGAGTGAGGAATGGGAAAGGGCATGGGAATATGTTCTGTTCCCTTCCCCGGGCTCTTGGGTGGCCCCAGGGGATGAAGCATGTGACATTAGGGCCACTGAGATGTACTAGAAAGAATCTGGACTTAGAGACATGGTGCTAACCTTCTGTGTGACTTTAGACCAGCCTCTTCCCCTTTTTCTGATCCTGCTTCCCCTTGTATACAACAGGGGGGCTGAGCTATTCCATAAAGGAGGTCATAGCAACACCACCTACAGTGAAGTCATTGGAGATCTGGGGCTCTTCCCTTCCCCACATGGAATCCATTAAGATGCATCCAAGGACCCCAAGGCCTGTGGGGCGTAGGTTCCAAAGCCCACTCCTCCTGTACCCTCTTCATGCTCCCTTATGATCCAAAGTCTCCTCAAAGAGAGAGCCTGGCCAAAGTTCCTCCCTGGCCAAAGTTCCTCCCTGGCCAGTGTCACGTAGTTTCCTAAGCTACTTCCTCCCCTTCCAAACAACAGGGTGAGCCTCCTATTTTCTACTCCTCCCCCATGCTATCTGGAGCATGGGAACACCAGGATCTCAGCTGGAGTGTCCCCAGTGTGCATGGAACTATTAGATTCAAGGATCATCAAGGCCTGTCTAGCTGTGATGGCAGGATCATTGATAGGTTCCTCCTGGGACTGGACTGGCAGGGCCTGGGATCACAGTGCCTGGCTCAAGGCTGATGCCACTGAGAAGCCCCTCCTGTCCCCTGAGCAGGGGGAGATGGCTGCAGAGAGCCTTTCCCACGTTCCAGACCAGCTTGGCCTCCTTATATAGCTCGGGCTCCAGGCTAAGCCTGTGTGTGCGAAGCCCTGTGCCCCGGGAGAGCAGATATCTTGTGGGAACAGAGTCTGGGCTTGCTCACTGAGCCCCTTGGGGAGGCTCTTTCCCATATACCAAAGGGGTATGTCTCCCTGTGTAACCCCAATCCTATGCAGAGCCAAAAGGGTTACCGGTATGGATGTGCACAGAGGTGCGCTCTGGCCATAGCTGTGCTGAAAAAGAAGGAAGTTTTCCTTGCTGCCACAGAATTCACTCCCAAGTCTACGAAGCTTTCTCCRGGGCCAGATGCCATCAGCTTTGAGGAAGGGCTGATGGCAGAGACACTGCCCCAGCCCTCTGAAAGCCTCTTACTGCCCCAGGGCACTGTGTGGGCCCCACAGCAGCTGGTATCACTGAGTCACTGGTATCATTCTCTGACCCAGGACTGAGCACCTGGCCGGACTTTGATGATTCATTTTGACCCCTGTGTGTCCACAGACTCAGGAGCTGACCTCCCTAGAACCACCAGGGAACACACCAGCTGCATTCAGAGCACCTAATATTTGTTCAATTTTTATTGCTATTTATTATAAAAGCAGCACTTTGACTTTATTAAAGGTGGATTGAAAAAAAAAAAAAGACACTAAGAACCCCACCTAACCCACCCCTGGGGACTAGCTGCCTAACGGCCTTGGCAACATCAGTGTTGTGCCCTCTCAGGCCCCCTGAGGACACCCGTCACCCTGCTCATGCACCTGCTTCAAGAGCACTCTATGCAGCTGGCTCTTGTGCTCGACTCAGTAGACTACCATGGGCCATGGGTTGTGCATCTCTTTGGCTCTTGGTGTGTGCTGTCAAATTTCAGGCCTTGTTTTGGGGCCCAGCTGGGGTTGATCCTTAGGACCCTGGCTAGATTAATGGAGCCCAAACAGCAGCCTGAGACCCAGGAAGAAGAAGGGCTTAAGGGCTTCTGCACCTCCTATTCATCCTGCCTGGGCCTCTCACACACTTCTATGGGCCTCTTCAGGCCTTCAGGGCCACCACTTCCCAGCCGCACTTCCCAGGCCCCCATTACCCAGAAATCTACCTAAAATGGCCAGTTCCCTGTTTTCTCCCAGGATGGGGGTTATGGAGAGTGTCCTCTTCCTCTTCACTGTTGTGTGCCCCAACACTATGAAACTTGGTGGGATGACTGGTTTGAGGGGTCGTGGTACCTAGGGAGCTTCTGGACCTTTTAGAAGAGGTTCCAGCCCCAGGCAGTGGGACACCCCTATAATCCCAGCAACTCAGGAGGTGGAGGCAGGAGGATCACAAGTTGTAGGCCAGCCTCAGCAACTCAGCAGAACCCTGAGAAACTTAGTGAGAACTTGTCTCAAAATAAAAATAAAAAGGGCCAGAGGTGTAGTTTAGTGGTAAATGCACTCCTGGGTTCAATCCTCAGAACCAAAAAAAAAAAAAAGAGGTCCCAGGGACTGGGGGGTATACATCAGTGGTAGAGCACTTGCTAGCATGTACAAGGCCCTGCGTTCAATCCCCAGTACTTCAAAATAAACAAATAAAAATTTTAAAAGAAACCCAATTTAAAAGCTGCGTGTGACGGCAAATACTTGTAATCCCAGCTAATGGGGAGTCTTTGAGATGGAGCTGCCCAAGAAAGCCTTCATCACCAACTTCTCCATGTAGGTGCCTTCCTACCCTCCTCCCTGTCCCATAACCCAGAATTGCAAGTTCAAGGCCAGCCTGGGTAACTTAGCAAGACCCTGGGTCAAAATAAAAAATAAAAAGGACCAGAGATGTAGCTCAGTGGTAGAGGATTGTCCCCCAACACCCCAACCAACTAAAGAAGGGGCACCAATACCCAACTCCACCCTGAGCCTTTCCTCAGGATATGTTCTGCCCCCAGCCAAAGTTCACTGGACATTGGTCATTTGCCTGCTTATCGGAGGCCTCTGGGGGTTTTGGCTTATAGATCCCAATTTCCCAGAACCTGCCCCCGCAGGGGCGGAGCAATGAGCAGTTACTAATTTATTTCCCATCTGCTCTCAGGTTTAGAAGCAGCCTGGCAGGCAGGCACTGGAGCCAAAATGAAGGTCCCTGCCCACATCGGCAGCATTGTGCTAGTCTTGCCCTTGCTGCTGGCTGTCCTTCAGACTGCCACGGCACAAAAGGTAGGGGGTCCTCATGGGTGCCTGGGGGTGAGGGAGGGATGCATATGAGCTGGGAAAAGAGAAAACATGACTGCAAAGTGGGAGAGAACCTCTGAGAGCATGCAAGCATTTAAGTAGGAGTACGGGTCCGTGTGTGTGTGCAAAGAAACAGCTCTACCCCCAGGGCCTTATGGGTATCCTCACCCCTGCTTAATAGGAAGGATGATCTTATTATTTCCCTTTTACAGATRAGGGAATATGGTGTAACCAGTTGCTCCTAGGGACCGGTAGTGGAGCTGGGTAGGTAGGGATGCAGCTTTACCAGCCCAGCTCTTCCTTTCCCTGGTTGAATGACCCTCAGGGAAGTTCTTTTTGCTTTCCTCCGCAGATTCCTGCTTTCTTCCGCAGATTCCTCATCTGTAAAACAGGGTATTAACAGATTCTTTTCAGATGATTGTTGTGTAAACTGAGCTCCTAATAGCTRTAAAGTGTTCTGTAGTGTGCAGGGCACAAAGCTAACAGGCTGTCAATGAGCCACTTGGCACTTCTGTGCTAAAACACACACATGTGCAGCCATATGCAGCTGAGCAACACTGGTGTGTGCTTGAGCATGGTACACACAGGGAAATGTGAGGCTCTGCATGTGTGCACATGCGTCGTTTCTTGGGGTGCTGCCCCACCTGCTTGCTGTTCCCTCTGGGGTGCTGTAGGCCTCCATAGAACAAGATGGACATGGTCCCTGCCCATGGTGCTATAGGGTGGGGAATGAAGCTTGCAGCTGTCTCTTATTCTCCATGCATGTTCATATGTGAAATATCTCCCTGAGTTTGGCCTGAGGCCTGATCAGCAAGTTGGTTAGGCTAGGAGCAGAGGTTGGTCTGAAGCCAGGGTCAAGGCTCCCTCTCAAAGTGTTGCATAAATGAGTGGCACTGAAACACTCTGACCTACTTTCCCTTTGCTGATCCAGAATGGCATCCAAATCTACAGCCTCACAGTGGACTCCAAGGTCTCTTCTCGATTTGCCCATACAGTCGTCACCAGCCGGGTAGTGAACAAGGCTGAGGAAGCGCAGGAGGCCATCTTTGAGATGGAGCTGCCCAAGAAAGCCTTCATCACCAACTTCTCCATGTAGGTGCCTTCCTACCCTCCTCCCTGTCCCACAACCCAGCACTGCTACTCCATCTCCTCTGGGCCCCAGGACATCTCTTCCAGAAGCCAGCCACTCCAGGATATGTGTGATCCACCTGCAGGCCTCACAGGGGGCAGGGGCTTTGTCAAGGAGCTCACTGTTCCTGGATGTGATCTGTCTTTCCTGCCATCTAGTCCTCCTCTTCAAGTGCTGCCTGGGTAGCAGGCTGAGGACCCCTGGCATTTTTGCATCTTTGCCTTTGAAGAATGCAAGCTTGGGGCATCCTGAGCCAGAACCAGGCAGGAGGGAGTCACCAAAAGCAGATTCCAGAATAGAGAGATCTTCCTTACCCCCTGGGCTGCCCGTCATGGAGAGTAAAGTTAAGGAGGGGTACTGCAGGAAACTGTCCACTGTTCTACCTCGGGAGAGGTCTGGGCTTCCTACAGAGGGTTAGTGACAATCCTCACTTTGTCCTCTGCTCTCCTCCCCACCCTTCCCAACACAGTTTTGCAATGTTTGCTAAACTCAGCGTAACTTCTCTCTGTCCTGGCCTCTGGGAAAAGCAGTGGTTGAGGATAGGAGAGAGGCTCCTCCCAGAAAGAGGGAGAGCTGGGCCCAGCAGAGAGGGAGGGGGCGGGACCTCTGTGGTTGGCTCCTCCCTCTCCCTGCCCATCCAGCCCAAGTTTTCCTACCCTGGGTCTTGCATCAGGAGCCCTGCAGGCTGTGCCAGGCTCCAATGAGCCAAGATCATCCCATTTGCTGAGAGCCCAGGATTGGCACCACCTCTTTTTGGCCTCAGATTTTGTGCCTGTATTTGATAGGGAAGTAGAGGGCAGCGTTCCCTGCTCCCCGACCTGGTCAGGAGGAGCCAAGTTCCTCATGCCCCAGTCCCATCCTGGCCCAGAGTTCCATTATAAACAAGAAAAGCAGGGAAGTGGGAGGGGAATGCCCGCTCCATGCATCCAGCTGCCCTCTCCCTTGCAACCTCCACATTCCCACCCTCTCACACTGCCCCAGATGGAATAGGCATATATTTACTTGACATCTTCTTACTCGCTGGACAAGGAGCCTCTGGAGTTATCATTTTCCTTCCAGAGAAATAGCCACTGGGGTCATGTCTACACACCCAGGACTCTCATTCACCACTGGTCCAAAGCCTACTTCCAGAGGTGCCAGACTCCCTCCAGAGGGCCTGCCCTGAGTGGGAGGAAGAGGGTGCAGCTGCAGGGAAAGGTATCAGAGCCTACGGGCCCATGTCCCCCTCCTGCTCCATCTTGGTCGTGCGGTTAGACACAGAACTAGGCACAGGTGCGGGTCAGAAAACTCTTGCTGGTAATTGACTGGTTCCTCTGGAACAGTCCTTGAGGTGGAAGGGGCAGGTTGGAAGATGGGGCCAGACTGGAAGCGTGAAGAGAGTTCCACATCCAGCCTCCTTTCTATCCTCCCCTGTCCCTTCAATAAAATGCATATTTACTAATTCTGAGCAGGTCTGGGGTGGGTGGAGTCCTCACCCAGCATCCTGTACAAGGTCTTGTATGCAGTAGGTGCATAATAAATGGTAGGAGAAGCTGGACACGATGGCACACGCTTTAATCCCAGCGGCTCTGGAGGCTGAGGCAGGAGTATCACAAGTTCAAAACCAGCCTCAGCAACTTAGCGAGACCCTAAACAACTTAGCAAGGTCTTTGTCTCTAAATAAAATACAAAATAGGGCTGAGGGTGTGGCTCAGTGGTTGAGTGTTCCTGAGTTCAATCCCCAATAACCACCACCCCCCAAAATAAATAAATAAATGGCAGGAGGCTCAGGCAAAGGCAAGAGCCACAGTGTCAAGAGGCCCCACCAGCCTCTTGACAGCTCCTGTCCCCTGCCCCCAGGATCATCGATGGTGTGACTTACCCAGGGAACATCAAGGAGAAGGCCACAGCCCAGAAGCAGTACAGTGAGGCTGTGGCCAGAGGAGAGAGCGCCGGCCTTGTCAAGTGAGCCCGGGTGCGGGCAGCTGTAATAGGGAGGGGGCCACAGGCAGAGACCCTTAGCCTTGCTCCCACCTCCAGCAGCCTTACCCCCAGTGGCCTGGAGGTGCAGTCCTGATGGCCCCCTCCCCCAGGGCCACCGGGAGAAAGATGGAGCAGTTCCAGGTGTCGGTCAGTGTGGCTCCCGCTGCTAAGGTCACCTTTGAGCTGGTGTATGAGGAGTTGCTCAAGCGGCATCTGGGGGTGTATGAGCTGCTGCTGAAAGTGCGACCCCAGCAGGTGGTGAAGCACCTGCAGGTACCTGTGCGGCCTCTTTCTGGGAGGCTTCTGGATGGCCCTGCCCTTGGCCTCCTGTTAGGCTCCCAGCTAACCTRGTGACCCGTATCTTCCCTTCCAGATGGACATTCACATCTTTGAGCCTCAGGGCATCAGCTTCCTAGARACAGAAAGCTCTTTCATGACCAACGAACTAGCAGATGCCCTCACTGTCTCCCAGAACAAGACCAAGGTGGGCCTGTCATGGCTCAATGGGGAGAGGGGACCCAGGGGCCTGCCTTCAGTCCAGCCCTGTGAGCTGGAGCCTCCAAGTACAGGACAGTTGGGCAGATTCTCTGAGCTGGAGGGTTCTCTGAGATCTGTGTCCATGCTACTGCTGGACAGACAGAGGAGGAGGGCAAGACCTGGAGAAGGATGGACACTTGTTGGAGCCCCAAGATTTGTGGAACATGGACTTGGAGTCTGTGGTGTAGACTGTGGTGGGAGAACCCTGAAACCAAGCAGAGAGGAATTGGTAGCTGGATCACACGCATTCTGAGCCCAGCCTCTGCTTGCCTCGCTCCAAAAACAGGTCATTCTCTCAGGCTGCCCAGCCTGAAAGAAAGGCCCCTGGAATATTGACCCCAGACTGCAYCCTGGAATTCTGACTTTCCTATAAGCATACTGAAGTGGAGGGTATTGTTGGCATGGCCTTGCCACTAGTCCCAATTTCAGCCATTTGTTCCTCTAGGCTCACATCCTGTTCAAGCCAACACTGTCCCAGCAGCAAAAGTCTCCAGGTCAGCAGGACACAGTCCTGGATGGCAACTTCATTGTCCGCTACGATGTGACCCGAACCCTCTCTGGAGGCTCCATTCAGGTAAGTGGACTCCAGGCAAGARCCTGGCAACCTGGAAGTCCATCCACCCTTAAAAGCCCAGAGCTAGATCATTCTAGAAGAGGAGAATAATGACCCTTATTTATTTGTATGCACAAGGGGTTGGTGCAGACAGAAAATAGGCAGTTTATTTGTGTTGTCCCTCAAACTATTCCCTTTCAGAGACAGAAAGTGTTTGYCTCTGTGAAGAGCTGCTTTATGCGGTTCCCCTCTTGGCCTTTGCTGCCAGGAGGCTAATACAAACTTCTAGCATCATTATGCTTCCCCTTTCCTCCTTATTGTGAAATCTTTTCTATTTTCATGGATTTCAGGTTTATTATATCTTAACCTTTTAGCATACCATAAGCTGCCTCAAATACCAAAACAAATAGGAAGCAAAGTTGGGGTGGTTGTGGTGGGCTGTGCACAAGCAGGGAAGGCTTCTACAAAAAAGGGGCGGAGCCTTGAAAGATGGCAAGGATTTGGGGGAGGCTAGTGGTAGGATGGAGATGGAGGTGTGGAACAAGGAGAACAAACCCCAAGGGTTTGAGATCAAGAGACTTGAGAGGGGTAGGTAGGGCAGGACTGCAGCTCTGATCAACTGGGTGCATCTCTCTCTGGCCACAGATTGAGAATGGCTACTTCGTGCACTACTTTGCCCCCGAGGGTCTGCCCACAATGCCCAAGAATGTAGTCTTTGTCATTGACAAGAGTGGCTCCATGAGTGGCCGGAAAATCCAACAGGTCAGTCCTATGGGCCCCGGAAACTCCCAAGCCCCTCATGCCATTCGCCCTGGTCCAACAGGCAGACCCTACCTGCTCCATCACCCTGGGTAGGGAGCTTCCAGGGGCCAAGAGTGGCCCTGGCATGGGGCCGCCTCACCCTGCAGATCCTACACTGTGTCCCCATCCCAGAACCAGTCCTGGAGGCCAGCCCAAGGGCCCTCAGGAATTCCCTCGGAGCCCCCCACCTCGTCTCCTCTTCCCCTGACCAGACCCGGGAAGCCCTCATCAAGATCCTAAGTGACCTTGGCCCCAAAGACCAGTTCAACCTCATCACCTTCAGCAGTGAAGCGACCCAGTGGAAGCCACACCTGGTTCCAGCCTCCACTGAGAACGTGGACGAGGCCAAGAGATATGCTGCCGGCATCCATGCATTAGGAGGTGAGAGCTTCCGCAGCCTTGCAGCCGGGAGCTCGAGGGTGCCCGCCTGGGAGTCACCTTGAGTGTGTGCCCTTCAGGGACCAACATCAATGAGGCAATGCTGACGGCTGTGAGGCGGCTGAAGAGTGACAACCAGGCCGAGCTGTTGTCTGAAGGGAGTGTTTCCCTCATCATCCTGCTCACTGATGGCGACCCCACCATGGGTGAGGGCACTGCTGGCCATTCTGGGAACCTGCCCAAGGAAAACAGCTGGGGCTGTTGCCGGCTTGCTGTATAATCAGGTGTAGGAATGGGGCTCACCGAGGAGCCTCTAGATCTGAGGTTTCAGAAATATTCATAATATTGATTCAATATTCTCATTGTTTTCCCAAACCCATGGGTCCAGGGGAGATCAATCCCACAAAGATCCAAAAGAATGTTCAGGAAGCCATAGATGGCCAGTACAGCCTCTTCTGCCTGGGCTTTGGCTTTGACGTCAGTTACGCCTTCCTGGAGAAGATGGCTCTGGACAACGGCGGCCTGGCTCGGCGCATCTATGAGGACTCAGATTCTGCCCTGCAGCTACAGGTGCCAGTGTGCCCCAGGTGGGCTGCAGAGAGCCAGGCAGACCCAGCCGAGGCCTTTGTGACACCCCTCCCCCGATCCCGTAGGACTTCTACCAGGAGGTGGCCAACCCCCTGCTGACAACAGTGGCCTTCCAGTACCCAAGCAATGCTGTGGAGGAGGTCACGCAGGACAACTTCCGACTCTTCTTCAAGGGCTCAGAGATGGTGGTGGCTGGCAAACTCCGAGACAAGAGCCCTGATGTGCTGTCAGCCATAGTCAAGGGGAAGATGGTGAGGACAGGGGCAGCTGGGGCAGCCTCCACCTTTCTGCCCCAAATCTCAGCCCTGCTGAGCTCCAGCTGATTGACCTTGAATGAGTCTCCATGCTTCCTGGGCCTCAGGTTTCCCCTCGGCCTCCTAGGCATGATACCAACCCCTGCTGCATGAGTTCATGGTGGAGGCTCAATTAGACCACATAGAATCTCATGAGAGCACCTGCTGTTCCAGGCACATGTGGGCACTCAGCACTCTGTGCTCCACCCCCTCACCATTCTTGAGAGTACGAGGTGACAGCAGGGATTCCTTCCTAATTGCCATCCCCTCCAGTCCTCATGCCAACAGTCTGAGGGTACAGTTGGACAAGGGAGAGCCACAGATGAACAGACTGAGCCTTTCTGTCCTTTTTTCTCATCTTTGGGGTGAGGGTGGGTTGTGTCTGGGGACACTTTTTTTTTATACTGGGGATTGAACCCAGGGGTAATTAACCACTGAGCCCCATTCCCAGCCCTTTTTTGTACTTTATTTAGAGACAGGGTCTTGCTGAGTTGCTTAGGGCCTTGCTAAGATGCTGAGGCTGGTTTTGATCTCATGATCCTCCTGCCTCAGCCTCCTGAGCCGCTGGGATTACTGTGCCCATCTGGGGATCCTTTCTGTTTCTCATGCATTTGCAAATTCTTCCTGCTGCTGTGTTTACACTGGGCTGAGGTTTAGTTCTAATCCTTATTACCCTTTCCCCCAAGAGGTCAGCTGGCCTAGGTCCTGGCTTATCACCTGCTTTGCTGTGCTGGGACAGGGGGCCTTCTTCTCACCCTTGGAGTCTCWGTGACAGAGACCCTGGCACTGCTAAACCCCCTCCCTACGCTCCCTCCAGAGGAAATGAGGCCCCTATGGTCAGTGAACTGGACCTGCCCCAGCTCCAGTCAGGTCTCTCACAGAAGAGCACTGAAGTACAGGGCAGGTGCAGACTTTGGGCCCTCATTGCTCTTGACCTGGCTGGGCCTCTCTTTCTAGCACAAGCAGAATGTCACCTTCCAAACTAAGTCCAGTGTGGCCAAGCAGGAGGAGGAGTTTCAGAGCCCCAAGTACATTTTCCACAACTTCATGGAGAGACTCTGGGCATACCTGACTATCCAGCAACAGCTGGAGCAGATGTGAGTGGCCCTGACCATGGCCGGCCACTGAGGCAGACCACACAGCATCAACACCCCCTAAGCCTTTTGCTCCTCAAGCAGGCGCAGCTGACACGGGGCACTTCCTAGATGTGGGGAGGGGTATTGTGTCTGAGCTCTACACTCTCCCAAGGGGAACCCCCCAAAAGGGTACCAATGGGTGAGGGAATTAGTCCAGGCATGGAGAGAACTCCTGAGCTCTGACATCCTCAAACTACAGGGTTTCAGCATCAGAAGCCGAATCACAGGTCCTCAAAGACCGAGCTCTGAATTTGTCACTTGATTACAACTTTGTCACTCCTCTCACCTCTATGGTGGTCACCAAACCCGAAGGCCAAGAACAGTCTCAAGTTGCTGAGAAACCTGTGGAAGATGGTGAGTGTGGGACCTGTGTCCCAGCCTCCTGGGCAGCAGAGCATCTACCGGGTATCCTCTCCCACCCCTCCCCTATGTCCCAGCCAAGATGCCACCCCTGTCATCCACAGACTCCTAGGAACCCAGAGAGACTCATCCTGTTTCACTGATGAGAAAACTTTGGCCAGGTCTCCTTGGCTCCTAGATTCACTTCCCCTATGTAGCTCTGGGGTTGGGAAGCAAGTTGAAACATAGTCTCTTCAAATTGATCAAAACCACCCTGATAGTGTCCTCCTCTTTTCTCTCTCTCTCTCTCTCTCTCTCTCTCTCTCTCTCTCTCTCTCTCTCACTTTCCCTCTCTGTATGTGTATTTTATCCAGATAACAGACACAAGAATATCAATACAGGTAAGGGCTAGTAGGCCCAAAGGCTGGCCTGGGTAAGATCCACTGTGTCCTGCTGCCAGGGGTGGTGGTGTCTGCCCAAGCGCATTCAGCTGGGGTCCCAGGAAGTGGATCCAAGGAGTAAACCCAGGTATCACTGACTTCCAGGCTACAATCTTTACAGACACAGCATAGGACTCCAAGGGTCCAGAATAACAGGTATCTAAGCGGAGGGGTTGGGGAGGGCATGGACTGGGCTCTGCCTCTGGCCATGGAGGGAGGTTGCTTTGCCTGGCTCATGCTCAGGTGTGTCTGAATAGGTAACGGCTCTGGATTTCTCAGAAGAAGAGGATTCAGTAAGCAAGGTAGTTTGGTGGGAGGGCACTGCCTGGGGAAGGTCTGACCTTCTCGGGAAAGAATTCCAGCATTGATTGTCTCCCAACCCCGGGAGAGTCTCCCCAGAGTGGTCAGATATAGAGTGAGGGGAGCCCACCTGCCCTCTCCACAGCCCACTGCTGGCATGGAGTCCCTGAGCCCTAGCTGGGGGAACCCATGATACTGAGGGTAGACTACACATGTCATTTTTTTTCCCCAAAGGAATAGTTTCCAACTCCCCACAAAGGTTCGGCGCTAGAGTTGCTGACTCTACTGAGAGATTAGTACAAAGAGGACCACCTGGGGATCCTTTTCATTTCTCCCATTTACAGAACATGGAGGACTTGGTATTCTGTAAGCCACTTTCTGAGCCTTGGAGAGCCTCGGTTTCTCTAAGATGGTCATAGTGGGGAGAGAGAAAGCACAGATAAGCCACATAGGGGAACTGCCACAGGGCATGTAAGTGGTGGCTGGGTCAATCTAGGATCTCCCAGAGGGAGGGTCAGGGGTGGATCCGTGTTGGGAGCATGGCTCTCCTGAGGGTCTGCCCTTGCCTGCCCAGCTCTTGACAAGCCACCCCTGTGCCTTGCCCTTAGCATTTCATTTCCTCCAGTGTATGCTGTCCTGTCTCTCTCCACTGTCCCTAGTTTGTCAGGTCACCATCCTGGACAGAATAGCCTCTCATGCTCCTTTCAAAGAGGATCCAGCGCCCCAAAAGGGTCATAGACTGGCCAAGAGGGCTCATAGTGAGGCTCTTTGGAGCACAGTTACCAATACTCTCCCTCCTGAAGCACCTCTCCCCCCCACCAGCTAGGAACATCAGGCATCTTGTCCCTGAAACAGAATTTTCTATGTCCTTTGTTCTCACTAGATAGAATCCCCTACTCTTGATGGAACCCTCTAGGAAGGCGAAGCTTCCTCCATTCCCAAAGCCAACAGGGGACCCTTGTGTTGTTCCTTTCTGTTTTTTTTTTAATTCTAATCTGTTATACATGATAGCAGAATGCATAATGCATGTAACAGTTCATATTACACATATAGAGCACAGTTTTTCATATCTCTGGTAGTATACACAGTATATTCACACCATTCGTGTCTTCATACATGTACTTAGGGTAATGATATTCATCTCATTCCACTGTCTTTCCTACCCCCATCCCCCCTCACTTCCCCTCCCACCCCTTTGCCCTATCTAGAGTTCACCTAATCCTCCCTTGCTCCCCCTCCCAACCCCACTATGAATCAGCCTTCTTAGAGAAAACATTTGGCATTTTGTTTTTTGGATTGGTTAACTTCACTTAGCATTATATTCTCCAAGTCCATCCATTTACCTGCAAATGCCATGATTTTGTTTTCTTTTATTGCTGAATAATATTCCATTGTGCATATATACCATGTTGTGTTTATCCATTCATCTACTGAAGGGCATCTAGTTTGGTTCCACAATTTAGTTATTGTGAATCGTGCTGCAATAAACACTGATGTGGCTGTGTCCCTGTAGTATGCTATTTTTAAGTCCTTTAGGTTTAGACCAAGGAGTGGGATAGCTGGGTCAAAAGCTGGTTCCATTCCCAGTTTTCCAAGGAATCTCTGTACTGCTTTCCATATTGGCTGCACCATTTTGAAGTCCCACTAGCAATGTATGAGTGTGCCTTTTCCCCCCACATCCTCGCCAACACTTATTGWTGTTTGTATTCTTCATAGCCACCATTCTGACTTGAGATGAAATCTTACAGTAGTTTTGATTTGCATTTCTCTAATTGCTAGAAGTATTGAACATTTTTTACCTATATTTATTGATTGATTGTAAATCACTTTCTGAGAAGTGTCTGTTCAGTTCCTTGGCCCATTTATTGATTGGGTCTTATGCTTTTTCTGATGCCAAAATGTGGACTCAAAAATAGCCACTAACCAGGCTGGACTTCCTCAGCATCTCCCCTAACCCTATGCCCTGCTAGGCCAGGTATAAGTGGGCAGAGTTCACTGGAGTTTGGTGGGTGGCCATTGGCAGGCATGCCCATGGGCCTGGAGACTGCTCCCAGCCCTGACTTCTGCTCCTTTCTGTTCCTCAATGTCCACACACTGATGACCACTTCAGCGCCACCACTGATTCCCTTGGATCCCCATAAATCTTTGTTGCATGGCATGGAAATTCAAAACAAAGGTATCTCCAGGCCAGGGCCCCTTTTTGTCCTAACTGGAAGACCGTGGGAAGGGAGAGTTCTGGGGGTCTCCATGAACCTGAAATGGGGTTTCTCTATGTTGAAGTGGAGAGGGAGCCCCAGCCACACTTGTCCTCTATTCTATCCTGTGACACCCCCACTTCCTAGGAAGGGGCTGCCTGAACCCACATCTTTCCCTTCTTTTTCTTTTAGGACCAGTTGTGACGATAGCTCCACCCTCAGGTAAGTTGCCAGCTCTCCCAGTACCTCTCCCATCTTTGCCCTCCCACTTCTCTCCCTGCCTCAGGAACTAGCTCTGGTTGTCCCAGCCCCCATCCAGGCTCCTCCTGTCCTCCTGACGCTGCCTGGGCCCAGCATCGACAGGCTCTGTGTGAACATCAAGCACTCCCAGGAGCCCATGAACCTGCTCTCAGACCCTGCCCAAGGTGAGAGGTGCACTCCTAGTAATCCACCCAGAGAGACCCGGGCACTACTCATGCCCACTCACCACCTGCCCAAGGAGATGCACACAGCGTTTACACATGCCCTGTGCCCTGATACAGAAACCTGCTCCCACAGCCACCAAAGGCCTTGCACTGGATACCCTCTGCAGGTCTGGATGACCTGGGCAGACTGTGGTCAGTGCTCAGAACTCAGAGGAGGAGGCCAGAGCTGCCGGAGTGTCAAGGAACTATACAGGGTCACCCAGGAGTGATGCTGCAGTTGTAGGAACCAGTGTCTGCAGAGCACAGAGCAGCTTCTCTCTATGGGACCCTGGTGGTGTGGAGGAGGGCAGTGGGGGGAGGAGGCAGGTCCACCCCTACCCTGGAAGGGTCTCCCTGTTCGAGTGGAGTCACAGGGCAGGCATGGAACACACACTGCTCGGGAATACTCACAGACAGCCACAGCTCCTGTGTTCCTCCTGGAACCACATGGTTTCCTGCTTCCTCACCCAGGCCCAGGTGTCTGTGTGTTCCGTGCGGGCAGGGATCCCAGTTTTCCATCTTATCCTTGACATGCAGCTACCCCAGGTACAGGAACACTCCAGAAATCTGATGAAAGTTTAGAGACTTGAGATAAGAGGCCTTCTCAGAAGTCTTACTGAAGCCAGGCGTGGTGACAYATGCCTTAAATCCAGGTCTCAGGAGGCTGAGGCAGGAGGATCGTGAGTTCAAAGTCAGCCTCAGCAACTTAGTGAGGCCCTAAGCAACTCAGAAAGACCCTGTCTCTAAATAAAATATAAAAAAAGGGCTGGGGATGGGGCTCAGTGGTTAAGCGCCCCAGGTTCAATCCCCAGTACCCCAAAAGAAAAGTCTTACTGAGGGTGGCTGTCACCAAAGACTTGGGGGCCCTTCCAAAACGATGTGAGACTAAGGTGTGAGTAAAAAGATGGTAKAAAGCAGGCCTGCAGTATGTGTGGATGCTGAGGAGCAGGTGTGGCCCTCCTGAAGAAAACTGTTGGTGAAGGACAATTTCTGGCAGGGACGTTGTCAAGGAAGGATCTTCTGTTCTGGCCAATGCCCAAGCCTTGGCTTTTACCTCTCCGATCTGGTTTTCTTAGGGATTGAGGTGACTGGCCAGTATAATACAGAGAAGGCTTGTTTCCACTGGATTGAGGTGACCTTCAAGAACCCCCAGGTGCGTGTTCATGCATCCCCTGAACACGTGGTAGTGACACGGAACCGAAGAAACTCTGCTTACAAGTGGAAGGAGACGCTATACTCAGTGTTGCCTGGGTAAGTTTCAGGCTGGGGTCTTCAATCAATGACCTCTCAGAYCCTATTGGCTCATGATGGTGCTTCCCAGTGGCCTGAGGCCACAGACCTGGGAATGGTTAGGAGCTGGATATGAGTCTTCTGCAGTGGACTGCGTTCATAGAAGAGACACAGAGAGCCCTGCTCCAAATCCCTGTGTCCCTGAAAGAACCAAAGAATTGTCCTGGGGACCTGATTCCCCTCACGCCTAACCCAGGCCACTATCCCATGCAGGAAGCAGTGTAGTTTGGAGCTGGCTCTGCAGCTAATCCTGTGTGACCCTGCATAGGCCATTTAGGTCCTTTGAGCCTCAGTTTCCTCACTAATACCTAGAGACGATCATCCTAGCCCTGAGTCAGGGGATGGAGGAACCCAATGAGAGGATGTACTTGGGGAACATGCACCATCAGATGGGACAGTGTCCCCCATCCCAGTGAAGGGTGGCAATCCTCTATCTGTTAAGGTTGTGATAGCAAATCCTGAGGTATAGGAGGCACTGTCCATCCAGGGTCACATACTGGGCAGCTGGGAGCTAATGGAGGCAAATGGGACTTCTTCTGGGAGGCATGATTGCCCTGTCATGGGCCAGGATAGTCCTCCAGCTCTAGAAGTCACGAGGGACCTTGGAGAGAGGCCAAGGACCCTGCCCTTCTGTGAGCTATGTCCTCTGAGACCCAGGCTTTTTCCACAACCCATCTTTTCCCTAGTATAGAAAACCCTGTCCATTAGCCAGGCACCGCATGCCTGTAATCCCTCCTGCCTCGGTGGCTTGGGAGGCTGAAGCAGGAGGATCTCACATTTAAAGCCAGCCTCAGCAGTTTAGTGAGGCCCTAAGCAACTCAATGAGACCCTGTCTCTAAATGAAATATCAAAAAGGGCTGGGGATGTGTCTCAGTGGCTAAGCCCTCCTGGATTCAATCCCTAGTAACCACCAAGAAAGAAAGAAAGAAAGAAAGAAAGAAAGAAAGAAAGAAAGAAAGAAAGAAAGAGAGAGAGAGAGAGAGAGAGAGAGAGAGAGAGAGAGAGAGAGAGAAAGAAAGAAAGAAAGAAAGGAAGGAAGGAAGGAAGGAAGGAAGGAAGAAGGGAGGGAGGGAGGGAGAGAGGGAAGGAGGGAGGAAAGAAAATAAAAGAAAACCCTATCCATTGCTACCTCTGCTTCCTCTCCAATTCCTTTGTTAGGGCCTTGTTTCCACTTGTCAATGAGCTCACACTCAGAAAACCTAAGAGGTTTTCCAAAATTCTTMCTGATTTCATACAAAACCTTAAAGTTTCTTGTTATCTGATGCCCACACAAACATTGAGAGCATTTCTGTGTCTTGGAAATGCACACTAAAAAGCCAAATGAAGAATTCCTGTTCATTCTAGTGATCGAAAATCCAAATGCTTTCATGAGCTACAGAAGATACACATGAAGAAAAATAGACACCTTTTAGATTGAATCAAATCCACAGTGCAGTATGTGTTTAGGGCACTTCCATTTAAATTAACCTCTGAGTGACAGCAGGATCTTATTCCACAAGCTTCAGGGAAGCTAACATCCATAAAGAAATCAAAAGGACAAGAAATGGCAAAGATTATTTTAAGTAAAAAGAAAGATAGATGGTGCATGCTTTCTAGCTACTGGTAAGACTGAGGCAGGAGGACCGTGAGTTTGAGGCTATCCTGGGCAACTTACAAGAGACCCTGTCTCAAATAAAATGAAAGAAGTTCTCTCAGTGGTAGAGTACTCACCCACTATACGTGAGGCCCTGGATTCAATCCCCAGTGCTGCCCCCACCCCACCCCACCCCCGCCCTGCAAAATAGGAGATAGAATGAGGAAAGACTTACCCTCTAGATGTTAAAACCCACAATAACACTGGTATGGTAGCTTAGGCCTATAATCCCAGCAGTTTAGGAGGCTGAGGCAGAGGAATTGTAGGTTCAAAGCGAGCCTCAGCAACTTAATAAGGACCTAAGCAACTCAGCAAGACTCTGTCTCTAAATAAAATATAAAAAAGGGCTGGGGATGTGGCTCAGTGGAAGTGCTACTGAGTTCAGTCCCTGGTACTAAAACAAAAACAAACAAAAAAACCACATCATGAAAAAACAAATTTAAGCAATCCAAAAGGAAGGCACCCACTATTTTATAAATAATGCCGAGGAAACTGGATATCATTGAGCTAAATTTGGTCATATTTTATTAATGAGGAAACTGAAGCCCAAAAGATTTAAGAGACTCCCACCTCCACCACGACACTCTGATTTCCCAGTGGGCTCCAGCCTACTCCCTACCGCTTGCTAAGGCTGCATGCAAGTATTTCTTCCTTCCTGCTCAGGACTCTGGATTTCTCCACAGCTTAAAGATGACCATGAACAAGACAGGGCTTCTGATGCTCAGTGGTCCAGACAAAGTCACCATCAGCCTCTTGTCCTTGGATGACCCTGGGAAGGGTCTCCTGCTCCTTCTGCGGGACACTGACCATTTCTCCAGCCACGTCAATGGGACCCTAGGTACTCTACCCACAGCCTGGTCTTAGGACATCCTCAGAAACCCCCTCTGCCCCCAAACAGGCAGTGGTCCTCACCGCCATGTGTTTCCCAGGCTCTCTGTCATTATCCCTCACAGACCCACCCTTTACGTTTCAGGCCAGTTTTACCAGGACGTGTTGTGGGAGACACCAGAAGGGGCAGACGACAACAAACGGATACTGAAGGTTCAGGGAAAGGACTATTCTGCCACCAGGTGACTCAGCACAAGCAGGCCACTCAGCCTGACCAGGGTTGGGGGGGACCATGAAGCTGAGAGTTGGACTATGCAGAACCCCACTCCTTCTGTCCTCATTTAGGAACTAGAAACGGTTGAAAGGTTGATAATGTAGGTGAGTCTGGATCAGCTGACCCCACAAAGGATGGTCAGGTCAGACCCACAGAAAGTACACCAGCCTGAAGATTGGTTGAGGGTAGTAGGACTCTCCATGCTCTCACCTCCAACTCTCAGAGCCCTAGACCCTGGAGACCATACACACTGGGTCTCATGGGTAACATTTTGGGTGACTGGGTCTTGACTTGTGCTCGAGAGACTGCTAAAGGGACTCTGGAATTGCACACCTTCCATGCTCCTATCCTCAACTGTCCCCCTCTGTTTCTAACCACACCTGAGATTTGCTGATCATCTGTCCATCTGTTTGTCATCTACCCATTCCAGAGAGCTCAAGTTGGATTACCAAGAGGGGCCCCCAGGAAAAGAGATTTCTTGCTGGTCTGTGGAGCTGTAGTTCTGACAGAAGAATCCTGTACCCTGCTGCAGGGCCACCTATGGGGTCTAGATCACAATGCAGAGGGGGATTCCTACTGGTTTCAAATAAAGAAAGGTGGCATGAACTCAGAGAATGGTGTCTCTCATTCCAAGTGGACAAATCCCAGGTCCTCGATCTCCCATCCTGGACAGTTAGCCTCATACAGCGTTAGAATCTTCTACTTTGGGCCCTGAAGGGCCTGTGGCCACTGAGGCCCATGGAAAGCTTTCAGCCCTGTTACCTTGTTTTGCAGATAAGAAAATTAAGACTAAGCCACCCATTAAAAATGCTGGTCCAGGGGGGCTGGGGTTGTGGTTCAGCGGTAGAGCACTTGCCTACATGGGTGAGGCACTGGGTTTGATCCTCAGTATCGCATATAAATAAATGAATAAAATAAAGGTGTATCAACTATATATATATATATATATATATATTTTTTTTTTTTTTTTTTTTAATTGCTGGTCCAGTGCTCAGCAAGGGACCCACAGCTGAAGAATGTTCTCCAGGAAGAGTGGAAACAAGTTTTGATTAACAAAACAAGCATGAACTGG